TGTTTATTAATTTTTTTACTTGGAGCAATGACTGATAGAATTAGCATAACCGTTAGAGCTTACGCGTTTGGAATGTTTCTTACTCTATCTAATGTAGCAGTTCATATTTTAAGATGGTTTATATAATTTGTAATACATATATTTTGTAACCATAAAAATTTTTTCGTGTTTTTCAAAATAATTTTCTGTATTTAAAAAATATTTATGGTTTTTCTAAGAGACTCGCAAATAATTATTTATTTTTTTTTCTTAAATTATGCTTATGTGCTTTCTTGTGATTTACATTGGAATAAATATTTTAACAATTTTTTTCTGATTTTCTTTGAATTACTCGGCAAATTATAAATTTAAAAAATTCCTATAAAAATCAACACTTTATAATTAAAAATTGAGAATTATAGTAATATATGTCACAGTTAAATTTCAACTTTAGTCAAATTCGAATTTGGAAAAAATAAAATTGTCGATTTTTTTCTATGGCATTTTCCACTTATTCAGTAATTTTCATTCAGTAACAAACCTATTCCTTTTTCCCGATTTTCAGTCTTGAAATTCCGGCCTGCCTTCCTTAACATGGATAAAGATGCAAATCCATTTTAATCCCTCCAGCCGATTAAACATAGAAAATAAGAAGTAAGAAATGGATTTGATAAAAGTGGAGTAGGTCTTTTAGGGATTGTACGACACTTGCGGACCGACTTTTGCGGACCGACCTTTGCGGACGGACATTTGCGGATTGCGGATAGACATTTGCGGATCGGACATTTGCGGACGACATTTGCGGATTGCGGACCGACTTTTGCGGATAGGACATTTGCGGACCGTTTTTGGGAAAAAAAATTTAAAAAATTAAATTTAATTTTCAAAAACGAAAAAAAATATGTAAGTTTATTTTAATATCTTTTCGATGGGCAACTTTTTTATCAAAATGGTCAACGTAAACCTATGGAGATTAGGCGAGGCGCTTGTGCAAAACCCTGCGCTTCGCGCAGGGTTTTGCGGCACGCGCCTCGCGGGGAGTCAACGGTCGCTGGGTTCTGGGCTCGTAACTTAATCCTATTCATATCATCGATGACATGGTCATGCCCAGCTTCCCCCGCAGCAGCAAAAACTCCACGGATGCAATAGGTAAGGAGCTAAAATAAACGATCATAACTTTATCTAACTTGTTAGATCGAAAAGATATTAAAATAAACTTACCTAAATATTTTTTTCGTTTTCGAAAATTAAATTTAATTTTGTAAATTTTTTTCCCAAAAGCGGTCCGCAATCCGCAAATGTCGTCCGCAAATGTCCGATCCGCAAATGTCTATCCGCAATCCGCAAATGTCCGTCCGCAAAGGTCGGTCCGCAAAAGTCGGTCCGCAAGTGTCGCACTACGCTTTTAGGGGTACTAAGTCTTTTGAGTTGACCCAGTATAAAAAATTCTTTGCCTAAGAAAATTTTATTAGTTGTGTTTTTTAAGTTGTATATGGAAAAATGCCCTCATAGATAACATATGTATGTATAATCAAAAACGGAAAAAATAAATATTAAGCATTTTTCTTTGTGTCATGTCTCAATGAGAGGTACATATTAACAAAGAAAAGCTTAGTTTTTCTTTCAAATATCACCTAAATAAATTATTTAAACGGCAACAGTTACCCGGATCGGAGTATTCGAACTAATGTCCAGTATTTTTGAGCGTTTTCCTGTATTTCTCCTGTTTAAAATCCAACTTTTCAAATATTTGGAGTTGAAATATAATTGGCTGACTCCACCCCAGAATATCGACACCCTAAATATCGACACCCAAAATGACGAATTACCCAAAATATCGAAAATTTTTAAACTTCATAATTAAGTATTCCAAGGACGGGGAAGTCTTTTTAACATAGGGAAATTGTTCCAACAATGGATCAAACATCGATCATGATCAATATGTCCAATCAAGGAAGAGTGATCGATCTCCAAGGAGAATCTTGATCGGTCGATATGGTCAGTCGATCGAAAACACAATTCCCCGATGTTGGAACATCATTCCCGATCATTGGAATGCATAATTTTGAAATTTAAAAAATTCGATATTTTGGGTAATTCGTCATTTTGGGTGTCGATATTTTGGGTCATTCGATATTTTGGGTGTCGATATTTAGGGTGTCGATATTTTGGGTGTCGATATTCTGGGGTGATCCCAATTGGTTGATATAGCGAAAATCTACTATTATTTAAAAATCAAATACTTTTGTGCTGTATTTGATTGGAACGATAAAAGCTCATGGGACGAATGTCCTAAATTAGAGCCATAGGATTGATTCGTTAAATTCGTTAAAATGATTATTTTTATTTCGATCAAAACTTCAGCCAGTATACTATTTAATATTTATCACTAATAATTATTTTTCTGTATTTCTATATTTTTTATAAAATATTTCTATAAAATTCTTAAAATCTTAGATTCACATTTTTTGATGAAAATTTCAATTAAAAAATTTTAAAAATGAAATTAATATTAAAACAACGTAAACAAATCCCAATTGAATTATTATTTGAAATAATTAAATTTGTTAATTGCTACCCAATAGAAGTATTAGATCAAATGGATTTTATAGAAAGAATATGTTTTTATCTCAATTTTTCTTTATCATCTAGGATTTTTTACAAATATTCTGCCAAAGCTCTATCAAAAATGAGGGTTAGTTTAAACGGAAACGGTTTCGATTTCGATACTTGGTTGGTTGGAACCCCAAAAAATTAGGGAGAGTGTTGTGTATGGGCGTCAGCCCTTAAAGTGTTTAGTATAAAAGCCAGTGAAAACGTCAGTCTAGTCGGATCATACTAGCGGGGCTAGTCACTGATCTCCTTCGTCTGTCCCATTCCCTTCGCCTACACATTGTTCATTTCTATGTGTGATAAAGTGTTATTATTGTGCTCGTCACATTAGTTAAACCTCGGACACCTCGGGTCGTAACAAATGGCGCGGTCGACAAAAGTGAAGTGTGGCGAAGTGTAGTGAATTGCCTTGGCAATTAGTGAAAGTGATTGTTTTGATTTTGAGTGGACAGACGTCGTAATTAGTGATCGGCATGAGTCGAAGTGAAATGAGTGAATTGTTAGTTAGTGCGCATGGACCTTTTGAGTTAGTGAGTGTGACCTGAAAAAGGACTCAGTACGAGTGCCAGTGGTCGAAGTTTAAGGCTGGAATGCCTAGTTAAGGCTGAAATGCCTAGTGGTCCTGGAAGTGCGCAGAATTTGGCCGATCAAATTTTGAAGTATCTGGCATTCATGAGAATGTAAGTCCAGAAATTGGAAAAAGTGAAAAGTGGAAAAAAGTGAAAATTTGGCAGCCTACGGGTGGGTAAGACCAAATAATGAAGTTTGTATTGTTAGTGAATAAAGTTAAATTTGGCAGCCTAAGGGTGGGTAAGACCAAATAATGAAGTGAGTAAAATAAAATTTGGCAGCCAAAAGGGTGGGTAAGACCAAATAATGAGTGAGTGAATTGAATTGAAGTGAGTCAAGGCGCTGAGGAGTGAATATTATTAGTGATTGAAGTATTATTCCAGTGCAAGTGAGTGAAGCAACCCAGACTACACATAGTGTAAGTTCAGTGAAGTGTTGCGGTACCTGAGTCTTTGACAGAGGCAGGATGTAACAGGCATCCTTTGAGTGGTTAGTTAGTAGTAGTATTCAAGTGTTAGTATTAAACCACGAGCCATCCTAAAAGTACACGGGAAAACGGCACCGAACTGCACACTAACTATATGTTAGTGTTGTGGTGTTTGACTTCATTTAAGTCGTGAAATAGTGATAGTGATGCAATTCAGTGAAATTCTATTATTGGGCACAGTGTTGAAAAAAAAAGTGAGTGTAGTGCCGCAATAGACTGTAAGAAAAGTGAAAAATAAAAGGAAAGCTTATGGACAAGCAGTGTGATGATCAACAGTGTTGCCTTGATTGGATCTGTTGTATGCACTGTAGACGACCGCTGCCAGAAGAAAAATAAAATGTGGAATAAGATGACAAATTTTGTGATGTTATGTAATTGTTGTAATTTTAATTTGTTGTTTTTCTTTTTGCCCTTTTGTCATCCCACATTTTTTGTGTTTTGTTGTGAGTTGAGTGTTAGTGAGAGACTAGACGCACTGGCTTAGTGTTAAGTGTATTGATAGCATGGAAGCTATAGTGAATGTTAAAATTGTAAAGCTTCGGCTTTAAGTGAAAGCCGAACCTTTTTTTCAAGGGGGGAGGTGTTGTGTATGGGCGTCAGCCCTTAAAGTGTTTAGTATAAAAGCCAGTGAAAACGTCAGTCTAGTCGGATCATACTAGCGGGGCTAGTCACTGATCTCCTTCGTCTGTCCCATTCCCTTCGCCTACACATTGTTATTTCTGCATGTGATAAATTGTTATTGTTGTGCTTGTCGACATTAGTTAATCTCGGACACCTCGGGTCGTAACAGAGAGGTCGCCATAATTTTGAATTCCTAAAAAATGCCAGGGCAAAACTTCGAACAGACAAAACTCCATCCTACCAAAACTTTGTCCAGCCAAAGTTCCGACCACCAAAGAAACCAAAATTCTTTATATGATATAAAACTAAATTTTATCAAATATTAATTTTTAAAAAACTAAACTATTGGCTTTCTACATTATATCAAAACTGAAGATTGCTATAGAAAAACTTAAATTAGTTTATATGCTTTACTTTTATTACGCGAAGATCTTAATTTCAATGGGGTATACCGTTTGTCAATTTATAGGTGGGTGTATAGTTAAATATTTTTAGGGAGAAAGTTCTTCCTTCAAATCTCCCTTCCACTGATATCCCTCTAATCCCTCAGTCTCAATTAAGAGGACCTAACCGATTGTGGCAATTGATTCAATCAAAATTTGCTCTCTTAGTGCTGAAGGCAAAATAATTTTGTGTTTTATATGTAGTTTGATAGAGTAATTCAATTTTTGACGAGGTAAGTTGATTGTCGGATCTCTAATTAGTGTTTGTCACCATCTCCCTAGTTTAACCACAAAATATTCTTTGTTTTTACAGTTGTTTTCTATGTCATTCTTTTGTGTTCCCCGTTTATAATACTTATGTTACCTGCAGTTTTGGCTATTATTGTAATTAGTTTCTGCATTGGATTCTTCTTTTCAATTCCATTCTATATATTGGCAGTATACTTATCTTACTTAAATTATTTTTATGAAATAATAATTGAATTGCTAACAACTACACAACGTTACATCATCAATTTTTTAGATATTCGCAGAGCTAGATTGGAAGAAACAGATTGGGCAGCGATAGATTGGTCGGAGATAGATTGGCTGTTACCGATTGGAAGACGATAGATTTACATTTAGAGAAAGGGCCGAGACGAGATCTCGATCAAAAATCTCAGTTATCGAGATATATCGTACGACAAACTTTTAGTTTTTCGAGGTTTTTTGAGATTTGAGATTTTTCAAGATATCACCTCGATTCTCGTACGACCCTCCCAGTCCGATTTCTAATTTAAAGTAAAGTTGGTTTGGACCCGTTTAAAACCTTTTACTTTGCTTTTGAGGTATTACTGCCTCCCCCTCCTAAACCCTAGGGTATGTCCCTGATAATGGGTTAAATAACAAAATTTTACGGATGAAGCTAATCCCTCTGGTATAATAATCTGCACCTCCAGAGCTTTTGATTCAGTTAAGGAAATTGAACAAAAATTGGGATCACCCCGGACATAAAAAATAGAAGGAAAATTAATCTGAGACTTAAATAGAGGGATTTTTTAGATTTTTCGAGCCATGATTTTAAGATAATTTATTTTCTATTTTTAAAATGTTATTTTTACTAATTCAAAATACTTTCCAAATTTATTTATTCCCAATTTATTCTAACTATTCCCTAAAAATATTTTTTTTCTTTACTTTTATCATTTTAAAACATTTCCACAAATTCCACAAACCATTTTAATCTTATCAACCCTTTTTAGTAATATCAATGCTGCCCCCCTTTTTTTTCTTCCGTTAACTTGTTCTTAAAAAAAATAAAATTTAATTTGTTGGTTTAATAAAATACCTAGATCCTCATTAATTTGAGAATTTAATATAAATATGTATATAAGGCTGGGGAAGTGATAAGATTTTCCTATCCTTCATGAAATAGTTATGTTGGAGGAATGACGTTAAATGGGATAACCCTAATACATATTTAAACTTAAAAAATTAAAAAAAAAAGAATTTTATTTTAATAATTAACAGTTTATAATTAAAAATTGAGAATTACATATATAAAATTAAAAGAAGTTATCAGACAATTTGAAATTAATTTTTATTTTTTGCGACATAAAATTTTTGGAAAAATTGTAAAAATCAGTTCAAAATATTTATTTTTTTGGAATTTTTATTTTTTTAAGAAGAATGGGGGGAGGGGGCATTTCTAATTTATTTCAAAATATTTTGAACTGACCAGAAATTAATTTTAAAAAAATAAAATTTAAAAAAAATATTCAGGTAGATAACGGTTGTGGATGATATTTTTAATAATTGAGTGTAGAACGGTTGTAAAATAAAATTATTTGAGTGAAAAAAATGGGGAAAAAGAAATAATGACAATTAAGCAGGGCTCGGATTGACAAAATGGCAATCAGAAGTACAAAAATTTTGATTAAAGTACATGAGGAGAAAATTTGCAAATAAAAAGTACACTCCAAATTAAATTAGAAAATATTTATTCGTCCTCAAATCTTTCATATTTCCCTCCTAAATGAATCTTTTCTAATAATTTCTTGTTTCCACTGAACATTTTCTGCATCTCAATGCACTTGGATGGATGATATATTTTAAAAATTTCATTTTTTGCCCAATCCCTTCCCCAATTTCATTTAAAATCAGAAAATTGATTTAAAATAGTACTACATACTTTCAAAAAAGTACAAATTCAATTTCTTAAGTACGGAGGTACTTAAAGAAATATTTATCAGGGATGGACTTTTTAACTCATGTTAACTTTTAGGTATCAGCGTAATCTTCCCGAATTTTATCATCCAAATAAGCTACAAACAAATACATACAAAAATCAAAGTTTTAATTACAATCCAAATAATAAAATATCGGCATAGAACAATTACATATCTTTTCTTTTTTCTTCATATTCCCCTCATCCATTGTTCACTCCTTCTGAACTTAACGTCAACTCTGTGTTCACCAAAATTGTTTTCTCGCCATTCATATATCTGCGGTAGCATAAATAGACAAACACTGCAACAATGCAAATTCTGAAAAAAGAAAAATTTTTTTTGAAAATTTTTTTGGAAGAAAAAATATTAAAGAAACGTACACTAGGAAAAGAGTCACAAAAACAATCGCAATAGGAGGCACCATTCCGCTCTGTTCTGTTGTAATGTAAAAAGAGAAGTTTAAGCTTGTATTGAAGAACTAAAACTTGAAAAGTTTATTTATTTGTTTTTATAGTACAACTTTATTTCTTTCCTAAGAAGAAAGATTTGCAAAATATTGCTGCTGATCAGGGATGGCTGTCTATCAGGGCCGCCTTTCGCCTTCGCTACACCTCCACATGACGACTGCTCACATTAACGACATCTAAAAAACCTTTACTCGCAAAGTGGAGATCCAACTAAATTTACTATAAAAGCCTACTTCCCTACCCTCTAAATTAATCACTCCTCTACATTCACCACTGATCACCAAAGCCGTCTTCATTGTCAACTATCAAATGGCTCAGGCTTCGCGCGCAACTTGCCCCGAATGCAGGGCGGAGGTCGGAAACCAGCCTACAATCTTCGCTCAGGGGCAGCTTTGGTATGTTTCTCATTTTGTTTTTTTTGGTCAAAAAATATTCTTTTTCTCATTTTGCAGGCATCGTGAACACTTCCGTTGCGCCAACAATGATTGCCGCCGCCAATTGGATTCCAACTATCAGGCAAGAAATAATTCAAATTTGATTTGAATTTTCGATAAACAAAAGTTTTTTTAGTTGTTCGAGAACCGTCCCTACTGCCTGGAATGCCATGCTAATCGCCGCAATCCAAGATGTGCCCTCGAGACTTGCCAACAGGTCCTGGCTGGAGAGGTCTACTTCGCTTTGGACAACTACTGGCACCCGCAATGCTTTCGATGTGAAGGATGCTCTCGTCCACTGGAAGGCGGAAACTACTACTTGGTGGATAATCGACCATATGGTGCGGAAATTTTTTTTGAAAATTTTTTTTTGAAGAAAAAAATTATTTTTTTTACAGACTTGGCCTGTCACTGGGGAAGGCGTCTCGCTCTTCAGAACAGAAACGACCAGCTCTGATTCTGCTCTCATACAATGACGTCTTCGATGCTTCAAACAGGATCAAATGCTAATAATGAAGGATGCTAATAATAATGTAGATATACATATGTTCTCTAAATAAATGTATATATATTTTTGTGATTGTATATAGATTATTGTATGTATGTAAATTGCTGATTGTTTATATTGTATATAAATTGCTTTCGACTCTTTGTTCACTTGAAAAATAAAAATTTTTTGCTTGCGGCCCCAAAACTTGAACCCAAAATTGTTTTAAATTATCAATAAGGGAAAGGCCTTCAGTAGGGCAGCAGAGATATCTTTGCTCTATTGTAAAATTTTTTGCTTGCTTATTGTTAACTTGTTTTTAAAAAAAATAAAGTTTAATTTGTTGGTTTAATAAAATATGTATATCCTCATTAATTTGAGAATTAAATATTTAAGGCTGGGGAAGTGATAAGGTATCTTTCATGAATCTATCCTTCATGAAATAGTTGTGTTGGAGGAATGACGTTAGATGGGACAACCCTAATGTATTTAATCTTAAAAAATTAAAAAAATTTTATTTTAATAATTAACAGTTTATAATTAAAAATTGAGAATTACATATATAAAATTAAAAAAAGTTATCAGACAATATGAAATTAATTTTTATTTTTTGCGACATAAAATTTTTGGAAAAATTGTTAAAATCAGTTCAAAATATTTATTTTCCTATAATTTTTATTTTTTAAGAGGGGGGGGCATTTCTAATTTATTTCTAAATATTTTGAACTGACCAGAAATTAATAAAATTAAAAAAAGTATTCAGGTAGATAACGGTTGTGGATGATATTTTTAATAATTGAGTGTAGAACGGTTGTAAAATAAAATAATTTGAGTGAAACAGAAAAAATGGGGAAAAAGAAATAATGACAATTAAGGTAGAGAAAAGGTTGTTGTTGTTATTTAAATTTGAAAGAAATGAAATTTTTTAAAATTTAATTTAATTGTATATGTATATTTAAATATATAAATTTGTTTAATTGTTTTAAAGAAATACTTTAGTAAATTTTGTATTCCGATTTTTTTAAATAAAATATTTTTTTCTGATTTTTAAAATCAGTTGGGGCAATTTAAAAAAAACAATTGAAGTTCAAGGAATTAAGATTTTTCTCTGGGGAAAGAGTAGTGCTTCGCCGAAACCGCAAATTTGGCCGGAATGAGAAATCAATCCTTTGGAGTGCTAAAAAGTGAAGGACCGGAACCGGAACTTAACAAACAAACCGGAACCAAAAAATCACGAAACTTCCGGCCTACTGGGACCGGAACTTCCGGCGAAGCTCTAGGGAAGAGTATTATACCCAAGATCAATTGTTTTTATTTAAAAAAGTAAAAGAAGTGAGCGAAAAAAAATTTAAAAAATATTTGAGAGCTCAAAAAAAGAGCAAAATAAACAAAAACAAAAAAATAATTTATTTTTAATTTAAACAGGCATTTTTCCGGTATCAACAACGATACAATTCCCTGAGAAAGACAATAAATGATAAACCGGTAAAAAAATAATGAAAAAAGAAGAAAAATTAAATTTTTAAAATTTAAAATTAATTTTACAGAAAATTTTCTTCTTTTAATTTTTGGAGAGAAAAAATAATTTTTTATTGAAGATTTTTGAAGTCAAAAGTGAAATAAATTCTTAATATGTTTAACAGAAAATAAAAGAATCTTTTCTCGATTAATTACCCAATCTCGATTAATGCCAGGTTGAAACCAGACCTGGTCATGGATACAGATAATACCAAAATGCCTGCGGATATTCGCCTGTATCCGCCGTAAATAACCGGATACGGATACCAAGATCAGTATTCGTGACCAGGTCTGGATGAAACAATAATTTTCCTTCTCCCCAAATTCCCTCCTACTTCATTTAAAATTTCAAAAATCGAATAATTCTACATTCGACAGATGCGAGGGGAGTGGAGGGGGATTGAAATAAATATCAATTCCCTATGGGAAATAAATAATCGAAAAAATAAGGTAATTAAATTCTTTAAAAAAAAATTCTTAGTTTTCTGTTCTACTCAAA